TGCGCTTTGATTTAAGAACGTGAAGTAAATACTTGGAGAATGAACGAAAAGAACGAGATGAAAAATGGTGCTTATTTAGGTTACCAAGATATAGTGGAGCAAGTCCATTAAGTCAAAAGCAAAAGTTTGAATTCAATTCGATATAAACTTCAACTTCGGATAATTGACTTAAAATTAAGTTCAATGCAACATTTGTCTAAAACGATTGAAAGCTCTTCATGAAAGGAGAGGTCAACATGAAGAAATGACTTATTTTATAGGAAGAAGGATGTGTAGGCCTAAATGAGTAATGTTCAGTTCTTTGTATATTCTAAGCCGATGGCCACGAAAGTAACCTCAATCGAAGTACACATTGTAGTCAATCACTTTCACCCATTTATGTCAAGTTAAATTGGATGTTCCTCACTTGGATTTGGCTGTGGCTTCTCGTGGAGTCTCAGTATTAAGCTGTGTTTACACTAGAGCAACTTAGACACTAAGACACGACAGGCAATAAACGGTATGAGTAGTAGTGTGTACGTCAACTAAGTTATTACTAATCTACTACCAACACAACCACCACCATTACCACAATTATCATCCTCATAATCAAAGTCTTTTCATTGTTCCCTATTATTACTGTTAACATGATCATCACTACCACCACCATCACTCGTCTCTTTGACCGGAAAGAACACCTGGGTTCCAAGTCCATATCAATGAGAATCTGCTAGGCCACTTTAATCCCCATAAATATGATATAAATATGCCTATCTTTGTTTTGTACAGATCGTTGCAAACAGAATGTCGATCCCATTTATAGCATCGCGTATACAGGATAATAAATTTATATACTGTATGTTTATCCATTTTAATATTTACTGTACTATGTGCAGTTTATATATCTTGATGTTTTTTTTGTTTGTTTAGAATTTAAATTTGTATATAAATCATTAACGTTCTGATGTGTTTTTAGAGGTTGGATTGGATTGGAATTATTCGGTGTGATGAACACCGACGATAACCCACGAAAGTCCCAAGACTTATTTCCAGTGGAGACCTTCTGGTGGCGAGTTGGGCAGTACTATATTCCGGGAGACAATCCCCTAATCTTTTCCGAATAGTGTACTGCGGGGCCAATACCCCCGAGGAGGTGGGGGGGGGGTAGATTTCCCCGACGAAGGCATATAATTTTTTTTTCTCCCCGACGAACTGAGCTTTTTCTCCCCGACGGGAGGCCAGCACTCCCCGCTGGCGCCACCCCTGGCTTAAACGACCTCCAGCTGACCAGAATTAAACCGGGGCCCAAAAGATCATCGGTTCAGAGCGCACACACCGTGGCTAACACCAGTTAGCCACGGTTAGATATCTGCCCTCCTTTTTTTCATATTCTACCATTGAATTAAGTACTCAGAACATTTTTTGAGTATCTCCCTGACACTGAACTATCTTTTGATTTCTAATGCTTCCTGACGACCAACATGAATCAGGATATCTACTGTGGTTTTAATACAATATTACGGAAGTGGTAGAATCCACGATAGGCCGAGCCTTTGAAAAACTGTCGATGACAAGACTTACACACAAGGCTAATGTACATGTGTGTGTAACTAATAATAATAATTTAATATATACATTTTTGTCTGATGTTTAAGATGTTTACTTGTTGAAAATTTCGAAATGTTATAAATAAGCTTATTCTACAGAATAGACCTATGCCTTATTATAAATAGCAACATATCAAAAGCATAACATGTCTTCATCTGCCTACTACACTCCAAAATACATAATGTACTGTAATTTTAATTGGCATAGCGTTTTACTTAATTATTCCAAGATACATTATTTCAATCCAGGATAAATGATGCACTGTAGGATTAATCGGCATTTTACCTAACTTCTTCATGTAAATTTCGTAACGGTTGGGTTGTCTTGTCTTGTTTATCATTTCGCTTTTAAAAAAATGTTAGTGTTTTATTGTTCTACCTCATTGTTCTCACGTCATTTATAAATTTTTGTATGCTATGCAGGTTTTTGATGTGCTAAATTGGATTGTGATATTGCTATACTTTTTAATGTTCCTATTTTCTATTTTAACTATTAATGTATATTACATATCGAGTATTGATCTTTTGTAAATTTATATTTTTTAAAAAATTGTACAGCGTCTGTTATCATTTTAATTGGATATTGTTTGCGCTATATTAAATAAAGTTATTATTATTATTATCATTATTATTAATATTATTATTATTATTATTATTATTATTATTATTATTATTATTAAATACCAGGAGAAACTTTGTTGAAATTTTTCATCTTAATTCTTAAAGATGCATCACTGGGCATGTTACGACTATATAAATACCGAAATATTATATTAATAGTAACGGGTGTTATATTTCACAACAAATTCTTTAGTCCATTTTAAGATACTGAGGACCATGACACACTCCTCCCCTGTCATTTTCTCGATTTCTCGATGTTTAACAGTTTAAGTGTCTGTTGTTTTTCATTATACGTATCAGCCCATATACTGATTTAATTGAATTAAAGTTTACTTTTTATCTTTTTCATTAAAAAAAAGGCATTTGAAGGGCAAATGCTATTATAGTTGTAATATATTGAGGTACTTTTAAAATATAGGCGATCTATGGTTCAAGAAGTAATATAAATTATTATTATTATTATTATTATTATTATTATTATTATTATTATTATTATATTAAATATATATATATAGGTCTATAATATATTATTATTATTAGTTAGTAGTAGACCTATTATTAGGCCTATATTTGAATTATTATTATTATTATTATTATTATTATTATTATTATTATTATTATTATTATTATGTATATATTAGGCCTGTGATTATTATTAGGCCTATTATTATATTTAACATTATTATTGTCAATATCATTATTTGTTAATAAAGATAAAAATTAAGTTTAACAACAATATAAACAAAAGCAGCAAATTAGGATCACTATACACCTAACCATCTCGAGAATATTCTTTTCATTGTAATATATGATTTAAATTGTTCAGTGATGATAAACTCTTTTTCTGTTTACTGTTGTGTTATTGCTACTGATGAGCAGTAGCAATAACATAGCAGCACTGTTATGTTAATGAATAATAATTAAAGACAACAAATCAAAAGCTATAAGATGTTTAATGATGAACCTACTTTTTTATTAAATCAGCTTCTAAATGACTTTGTCTAAGTTGTTCAATATTTTTTTAATTATTAAAACACAGTATAGGTTTGATCTTGTTTTTGTTTTTTTGTTTTTTGTTTTTTGTTTTTTCATTTATGTAGGCCTATACATTGTCTGTCTTGCAATGAAACATAATCACACGCGGAAAAGTTGTATGTCCAATTAATGTCCGTTGCACTTCATGACTGCCGTATAGTTCTGTGGTATGCAATTAGTGAGATAATGAGGTTCATAATAGCTATTCATATTATTCAATCTGACCTAATATAAACGAATACCTTGACGTTATCAGATGATCCGGTGTCATTACTCAACGAATGCAACGGGTCCGCAATATACCTAGAAGCGTTGATTGGGTCGTGGCACGCTGTTGTAG